TATAGCGTATATATTTACTCCTGAAGAACAAAGGCCCAAGAAGTTGATAGCATATCCAAGATGAGTGGTTGACCTTTAAATTGATACAATTTATATGGTCGTATGTAATCATATGTGGGAGTTACGCATAAATATTTACTGGTGCTTACGTACTGAGATATTATTTAGTAAACCATTACCACACTGGAAGGCGGAAATATAGCGCAGATGACTTTTAAATGTTCCATGAGGTTTCAGTTATGATCAAGGACAACGCCTATAATTTTCGATGATGATCAGATAATTTTGGGATGAAGTGGACTGAAAACTTATTTTTGTATTTTTTTCGAGTCGATTTATAGGCCGCAATTGAAATCCGAACATCACAACACAACCCACAGTGAAGGGAATCTGGACAAATAATTATAGGAGGGCGCAAATATCGCAAAATATTGCCCAAGCTCAGAATATAGTACCACCGAAAGTTGGATTTTCATGGAAGTTGTGTAGGGTATCATATGGTCGGCCCGTCCGACTATACTGCTCCGCTCACTGGTTTAAAAATTATTTTCCAAGAACCGAATATAGATGTGTTTTTTCATGAACCGAAATAGAAGTGAATTTTTCAAAAATATTTTTTTCTAGAATGTAAATTTTTCAAAAATATTTTTCATTTAAAAAACATATACTCAATACAAACGTGTATTTTTTTTAACATTGTCTTTTTTATTTGGTCAGCAAATGCTGTCTCAACCTTTATTTGCTCTCTTTCTGGGTCTGCCCCCAAAAAGTCTTCCATAGTCAACAATGAAGTTTTGTAATTTAATTTTTCGTTTTTGCTTTTCGTGTTGCCGATAGCATACGGATGATGGTCGTAAACAAGTGATTCTGTGCGACAATAAAAGTTTTTCTTTTGTAGTTTGTTTTTTAGTCGAAAGTGTTTCACACGCCACATAAAAATCTACCAACAAAAGCCAGCAGATTCACCAACAATGACTGCTTACAACCATTTTGTCTGTGTGCCCAGTTTTTTTGTTAGACAAGGATTTTTATTCCAGCCATCAATGAGACACTGAATATTGTTGCCATGTTTAAGGGATACAGAAAAAGGGATCGGAGTAACATGCATGTTTTAAAGCAATAAAGGATAAGCAATTTAAATTTTAATTTTCTCCAATTTTAAAATAAAGAATTCGTCATCTTCTTTACAGTCACCATATGCTAATGAAATAATAAGGACTTCACTTGCGTGTGTATAGGTAATTTTTTTTTTTTAATTTAAATTTTAAAGTTCCCTCATTCCTAAGTTATCTTTGTTGGCAACCATGTTGGGTATTCACTTCCATGATTTTAAAGAAAATCTTCAACGCAAAAAAGGATAAAAACATTGTATGAAACAATTGGTCTCAAGTTATCCACCTAAATCCATGGAACACAATACTTTCCTTAGAAGAAAAAGACAGAAAAGAAGAAATGTCTTTTTTACACAACAATTACTAATGATTTTTTAATGTCAGCTAAGAACATAAAAACTGTCATTTAAGTGAAAAGAAGAACAATAAGAAGAAGAAGATGAATAAAGAAATTTGTATTTTAGTCATGACTGTATTATTGTCTTAAAGTTTACTAAGTGCATAATATTATAGACTCAATGTAATCTGGTCTTAGTTGCAACAATAACTACAAGAACTGAGTTAATAAAAGAAGTATGAATTAAATTAGAGGAAATAATACAAAGTCGTCATTAAAAACAGGTAAGGAAAGTAGTAATGTCGGACTGGGCCGACTATATGATACCCTTCACCACTTTGGGCATATTGCACATAAGTATCAATGTTCCCTCGAAGGAACAAAATCATGCCTTTCTGCAACTTATGGTAAATTGAATTTCATTCGGGCAGATTTAGAGTCGTCTTCGTGCCATGGAATAAATTTGTGGAAAACGAATTATAGGAAAATTGATACAGGCTATTCGCTACGCCGCACTGTTAAAAATGTAATTTCAATCAGACACCAGTTCGAAACACATATGGAAGCTATGGCTGCATCTGCACCAATTTCAAAAAAACCCAATAACGTCATTCCCGTCTCAATTCGATACGTTGTGCAAAATTTCGTGTTAATCGGACAAACACTAGGAGTTTGGTGCAAAATTTATGTAAAATTGGATGAAAATATATATGAGAGCTATATCTAAATCTGAACTGATCTTCACGAATCTTAACACACATCACTCTAGACTCATTTCAGTACGCTATGCCAAATTTCGTGTAAATCGAAAAATATATTCAGACTTTGGTGCACCATTTACATTAAATCAGAAGAAATATAAATATCGGACGAAGATATATATGAGAGCTATATATGAATCTGAGCCGATTTCCAGGAAACTTAGCACATATTATTCTAGGCTTAATTCAGTACGATGTGCCAAATTTAGTGCAAATCAAATGATATATATGGACTTTGGCACACCATTTACCTTATATCGGACGAAAATATATATGGGAGCTATATCTAAATCTGAACAGATTTCCCGAAACATAACACACATCATTCTACTCTTAATTCAGTACGCTGTGCAAAATTTCGTGCAAATCGAAAGATATTTAGGGAAACCACTTACATTAAATCGGACGAAGGGATATATGGGAGCTATATATAAATATATACCGAATTTCACGAAACTTAGCACATTCTGGGCTCAATTGATTACGCTGTGCCAAATTTTGTGCAAATCGAAAGGGACTTTGGTGCACCATTTTTGTCAAATCGGACGAAAATATATATGGGACTTTGGTGCACACATTTTGTTATTTCAAATCTGTGTCAAATTTCGAAAATATATTTAGGGACTTTGGTGCACCATTTACAATATATCAGACGAAGATATATATGGGAGATATATATGAATCTGAGCCGATTTCCAGGAAACTTAGCACATATTATTCAAGGCTTAATTCAGTACGATGTGCCAAATTTAGTGCAAATCAAATGATATATATTAACTTTGGCACACCATTTACCTTATATCGGACGAAAAAATATATGGGAGCTATATCTAAATCTGACTCGAAATTCAGGTAACTTACCACACATCCTTCTAGACTTATTTCAGAACGCTGTGTCACATTTCGTGCAAATCGAAAAATATTTAGGGACTTTGGTGCACCATTTACCTTATATCGGACGAAAATATATATGGGAGCTATATCTAAATCTGACCCGACTTCCAAGAAACTTAGCACATATTATTCTAGGCTTATTTCAGTACGATGTGCCAAATTTCGTACAAATGGAAAGATATTTAGGGACTTTGGTGCACCATTTACCTCAAATCGGTTGAAACTATATATGGGAGCTATATCTAAATCTAAACCGATTTTCAAGAATCTTAGCACACGCCATTTTAGGATCAATTGTTTACGCTGTTCCAAATTTCGTGCAAATCGAAAGATATTTAGGGACTTTGGTGCAAATCGGACGAAAATATATATGGGAGCCAGGGACTCCTGTGTACGTTGCTGATGGGAGCTGAACCGATTTTCACGAAACTTAGCACACATCATTCTAGGCATAATTCAGTACGCTGTGCCAAATTTCGTGCACATCGAAAGCTATTTAGAGACTTTGGCGCACCATTTGCCTTAAATCGGCCTTGGGCCAAATGAATGACCTGTGCCAAATTTCATCCAATTCGAATAATTAATGCGACCTGTATTATGTTTACAATTTAACATGAACAGACAGACGGACATGCATAAATCGACTTAGAAAGTGATTCTAAACATATTCTCAAAGGAACCATGTGTCTTATCTCGTTTCCTTTTGCCTGTTACAAACATATGCACAAAGACATAATACCCTGTACCACAGTGTGGTGAAGGGTATAAAATTAAAAATATTATAAAGCGAAAAAATATTTAAAATATTCTTCAAAATTGCATGTCTTGAAGAAATATTTTTAATAACCCACGTTTAAAAATATACAAAATATAAATAAGTCCTTGAACAAATATTTAAAAAAACACACCCTTGTTAGTTCATGAAAAAATATTTGTTAGTTCATAAAAAAATATTTTAAACCAGTGAGCGGAGCAGTATAGTCGGACGGTGCCGACCATATGATACCCTAGACAACTTTCACGAAAGTCTAACTTTTTGTGGTTCTATATTCTGATATTGGGCAATATTTCGCGATATTTGTAACCTCTTGACCGACTAGAAGTCATCAAATATCAAATATATCCAGTAAAGGAGGGGTGTACTTGCCCAGATTCCCTATACCGTGGGTTATGTTGTGATGTTGGGCTTTCAATTGTAGTCTATAGATCGACTCGAAAAAAAACACAAAAAAATTAGTTTTCCGTCCACTTCATCCCAAAATTATTAACTTATCATCACCGAAAATTATAGGCGTTTTCCTTGACCATAACTGGAACCTCATGGAAAATTTCAAAGCGATCAGCGGTGTATTCGAGTGTGGTAATGGGTCACTAAATAATATCTGAATACGTAAGCACCTGTAAATATTTAAGTGTAACTCTCACCTCTGGAGCGACCAGAAAATCATACAAAAATTAAGTTTTTGATCCATTTCACCCCCTAAATATTAACCAAAAACAAAATAGGAGGTCTTCATTGGCTAGAATCCATCCTACATGCAAAATTTCGTGAATATTGGTCCATAACTGTGGCCTGTATCGTGTTTACAAATTATAATGGACAGACGGACGGACGAACGCACATGTCTAGATCGACTCAGCTAGTCGAGATACTTAAAGGTGGGTGGAATAATTAAAGATGGGTCTAGGACCAATATTTCGCGGCATTACAAACTCTTTTTGGGCTGCACAAAGCTATAATACCCTGACAACATAGTTGTGTAGGGTATACAAAAGCTATAGTACCCTGACAACATAGTTGTGTAGGATAGAAAAATGTTACAACATATTTTTAAAAATTCATGATATATACACATATATTATTTCTAAATATTATAATATATAAAATATATTTACCTCTTGTAAGGTGGCATTGTAATCCGATTTCTGCCATGTCACATTATTCGATTTGATTGACATACGATCTCGTACGTTAGTCGAAAATCTGAAAGATCTGCCATACTGTTGTAAGGAAAAGGAAAGAAAAAAATTATTTCTTGATTATGGAATGACTCAAAATTGAAATATATTTGTATATATTAAATATTTCTATGCCAATTAATATTCCATACTTACCCTATCATAATTGCCATTATTCGATAAACTTGTGGCCAAGGTACGAAAACTCGACTGATCTCGATTGAAGCCATTTTTTCGGCATTTGCCGCAGAGGGTATCCTTAAAGGCTACACGATAACGATGGGACATAACATTGTACAAAATCGGATTAATTGTGCTACAAAACAACAATATTTAGTAAAAACAACAACATTTTCGTTTCACCACACAAACTTACCATGACAAATAATAGGCAAATCCAGTTATCGAGAAAAGCCATTCGTTGATTTCGAAATAATATTTATTCTCGCGACCGTAGATAATAAATAGCCGCTGGATGTGAAATGGTAGCCAGCATATGAAGAATGTCAAAACAACAGCAGCTGTAAAACAAAACCAAAAAAAAAATACAAATAATAAATTATTTACAATTTTGTGTTTATTTCTTACAAATTCTACAAATTGAAATACGATACGGTCTTTTTTTCTTCTTCTCGATTTAATTGTAAATATCAGATAAGCTGCCTAAGTGTCCCTATTGTCTTTGAAAATGCTAAACAAATATCCACAGATACATTCAGTATTTTTTACTATATCGTATTTTTGTTTAATAAGATAATGCTATTTAGTTCATTAAAACTTCAGAGATATTTCTACTATAATAGAATTGTCAAGGATGCCAGATAAGAAGATTAGATAAATGGCTTATGACCGAAGTGATGATAATATGTAAGTCTATTAAAAAAAAACAAATACCCATACATACGCTTAAATATGACTAAAACAATTAACCTAATTTATAAAATAAAAAAAGTTTTTTTTTGTTTTCAAAATCGGTGCCTGTAATATATCCACGCCTATAATAAAGTCATAGAAAAAGTATTTTTAAAAAATTAGTAAAATATTGTTATTAAAAATTCCACCTCAGAAATAGATAAGAACTTAGAAAAATATTTTTAAACCAGTGATCGGCGCAGTATAGTCGGACGTCGCCGACAATACGATACCCTACACAACTACCACGGAACTCCTTCATTTTGCGGATGTTTTTTTTTTCGAGCCTGGGCAATATATCGTGATATTTGCACCCTCTTGACCGATTAAAGATCAATAGCACTGATCTCTAACATATTTTCCGATTATTCCCAATATTCAGTACATGCTTGCTAATTACTTATCCAGATTCCCTTCACCGTGTGTTGTGTTGTGATGTTCGGCTTTCAATTGTGGCCTATAGATCGACTCAAAAAACACAAAAATTATGTTTTCGGTCACTTCATCCCAATTTTTTATGTGATCATCACCAAAAATTATAGGCGTTGTCCTTGACCACAACTGGAACCTCATGGAATATTTCAAAGCGATCATAGCAATATTTCCGTCCACCAGTGTGTTAATGGGTTACTAAATAATATCTGATATCTGCAAATATTTAAGTGTAACTCCCACATCCGAGTACAACCACACCTCTTGGCTATACTATCAACTTATCGGGTCTATGTTCTTTAGGAGTAAATATATATACCATAGAATACTAATTTTGTAATTTTTCAAACAAAAGTATGGGTCCATTTGACCGATCTTAATCAAAAAAGGCATGCATATTTTTTGGCTCGAACCCCTTCTCCATGTAAGAATTCGCGATGTTTTGGCCATAATTGCGGCCTCTAGGGCGACAAGAAAAACCGACAAAAATAAAGTTTTTGGTCCACTTCATCACCTAAATATTAACCGATCTTTTCAAAAAACAATAGGGGTCTTCATTGGACAGAACCCATCCTACATGCAATTCATTTCGTGAAGATTTATAATGGACAGACGGACGGACACAGATGTCTAGATCGACTCAGCTAGTCGAGATATGACGATCGGTATACTTAAAGGTGGATCTAGGACCAATATTTCGCGGCGTTACAAACTCTTGGGGCTGCACAAAATTATAATACCCTGACAACATAAATGTGTAGAGTATAAAAATCCAAAAAATTTTGACATCAAAATATTTAAAAAACAGTGAGCGGAGCAGTATAGTCGGACGGGGCCGACCATATGATACCCTACACAACTTCCACGAAAGTCTAACTTTCTGTGGCTTTATGTTCTGAGCTTGGGCAATATTTCGCGATATATGCACCCTCTTGACGGACTAGAGTTCAACAAACGTTATCCCAAAACTATTATCTGATCATCACCGAAAATTATAGGCGTTGCCCTTGGCCATACCTGGATCCTCATGGAATATTTCAAATCGATCAACTCTATATTTCCGCCCTCTAGTGTGGTAATGGGTTACTAAATAATATATTAATACGTAACCACCTGTAAAAATTTATGTGTAACTCCCACATCCGGTACATACGACAATATAATTGGTATAGATTTAAAGGTCAACCACTCATCTTCGATATACTATCAACATTTTGGGTCAATGTCCTTCAGGAGTAAATATATACGCGATAGAAGACAAATTTTGTCATTTTTCACACAAAAGTCAGGGTCCATTTGACCCGCTATATAATCACCGATCATTATCAAAACAGGCATGCTTATTCTTTGGCCCAATCCCCTTCTCCCTGTAAAAAATCGTGATGTTTTAGCCATAATTGCGGCCTCTAGGCGACAAGAAAAACCGACAAAAATTAAGTATTTGGTACCAAAAACAATAAGGGTCCTTCATAGGCCAAAACCCATTCTACATGCAAAATGTCGTGAAGATTGGTCCATAACTGTGGCCTGTATTATAATGGACAGGCGGACGGACGGACACACATGTCTGTATCAACTTAGCTAGTCGAGGTATGACGAATCGGTATACTTAAAGGTGGGACTAGGGCCAATATTTCGCGGCGTTACAATCTCTTGGGGCTGCACAAAGCTATAATACCATGACAAGATAGTTGTGTAGGGTATAAAAATCCAAAAAATCAAAAAATTAAAAAAAAACAGTAAGGAAAGTAGTAAAGTCGGACTGGGCCGACTATATAATACCCTTCACCACTTTGGGTATATTCTACATATGTCTCCTAACAGACTCCGCTTTAGCGTAAGAATATTGGCATGACATTGAACGAACTTGAATATAAGATCTTTATGCCTTTTTGAAACCTATGCTAAATTTCATTTCATTGAATCGAATTTCACGGATGAAATATACATGAGAGCTATATCTTAATCTGGAACGATTTTCACGAAGCTTATCGCACTTCATTCTACGCTATGCCAAGTTTCGTGCCAATCAAGGAATATATAGGGTCTTTGGTGCACCATTTATATAATATCGGACGAAAATATATATGGGAGCTATATCTAAATCTGAACCGATTTTCATGAAACGCTGTACACATCATTCTAGGCTCAATTCAGCACGATATAAAAAAGTTCGTGCAAATTGAAGAATATAGGGTCTTTGGTGCACCATTTACATAAAATCGGAGGAAAATATATATGGGAGCTATATCTAAATCTGAACCGATTTTCACGAAACGTTGTACACATCATTCTAGACTTATTTCAGTACGCTATGCAAAATTTCATGCAAATCGAGGAGTATATAGGGACTTTGGTGCACCATTTACGTAAAATCGGACGAAAATATATATGGGAGCTATATCTGAATCTGAACCGATTTTCACGAAACGTTGCATACATCATTCTAGACTCAATTCAGTACGCTATGCCAAATTTCGTGCAAATCGAATGATATATAGCGACATTGGTGCACGATTTACATAAAATCGGACGAATATATATATGGGAGCTATATCTAAATGTGGACCGATTTTCACGAAACGTTGTACACATCATTCTAGGCTCAATTCAGCACGATATGAAAAATTTCGTGCAAATCGAAGAATATATCGGGTCTTTGGTGCACCCTTTACATAAAATCGGACGAAAAAATATATGGGAGCTATATGTAGCTCTGAACCGATTTTCACGAAATGTTGCCCACATTATTCTAGACTTAATTCAGTACGCTTTGCCTAATTTCGTGCAAATCGAATGACATATAGGAACATTGGTGCACCATTTACGTAAAATCGGACGAAAATATATATATGGGAGCTATATCTAAATCTGAACCGATTTTTCCCAATTTCAATATGGTTCGTCCTTGGGCCAAACAAATGAGCTGGACCAAATTGCATCCAAATCGGATTATAAATGCGACCTGTACTTTGTTTACAATTAAAACCAACAGAGGGACAGACAGACGGACATGCATAAATCGACTCAGAAAGTAATTTTATGCATATTCTTCAAAGGAACCCTGTGTCTATCTCGTTTGCTTTTGCCTGAAGGATATAAAAATCCACGCCTGTTGTATCACCTCAAAAATATAATGACTTGGAAAATTATTTTTAAAAAGTTAATGATTTTTAATTTCAGAACAAAATCCAAGCCTGTCCTTTAATGTCCATTTACAAATTGATATATGATTTGACCCTGAAAATCAATATTTTTTCCACCAAAAATGCTTTCCATATGCGTTTGCGATAAGTCGTCATCATCATAGTCTGTCATAAAATTTTCGACAGTTATTAGATGTTAGTTTTTGCTGAACTTTTGTCATTTCGCCGTTCATCCATTGACTTTGTTCGAAGAATCGAAGTGCCAATAATAATCATAATAACTCAATCATTTTTATTGATAGCCATAATATACGACAAACATGTTGTATCATGTCGATTTCTATTTCTGTTTAGCAAACAGTTTCTTTCACTTTCTTTTTTTCAACTTTAGCCGTCATAAAATTTAATGACCGGCCATGTAATGGAGAATGGAGCATTAAAGGTCATTTCTTAAATGTGGCCATATTAAATTTATGTACATTTTCGTCGTCTATTTCTATTTGGGAGTCTTTGGAGTAGGAAGGGTGAGGGGTGGCTAATAAACTAGGCACCTAAATGGCGTCGGGATGAGATTTGTTTCTTACAAATGTTTATCACTGTAATGCCAATGGTTATTATCACCATCAAATACAAGTTCAATGGCTTTAAGCCTTTTTCTTCGCAGTCGCCGTATCTCAGGATTCGTTCCTCTACCTCCCGCTCTCTCCCATGTCCCTAGCTAATGTCAAACACACGCCACATTGTTGGCTTGTCTGCCGTAATCTGTCAGAGGTGTGGGTTATACTTCTTAGACATTGATTTGATTTGGCCAATACTTTTCAATTTGTTGCTGTTGGCTTGTTCGTCGATGTCTGTGCCATGGCATGGTAGCCTTGGGTCATATTTGTTAAGGCAGGCGCAAAAAAGTTATTAACGCAGCTTGTAGCAATTGATTTGCACTGCATCGAGGCTTTTTCCCATTTGACAATCTATGGCAGCCTTTGGATTTTTCTCTGGGCCATTACTTGTTTGATTGAGAGTGTTAATTTTGTTATTGGATGGTGGTAATTTGTATGTGAGTGTGTGTGAGTCATGTTGTCTGCTAATAAGTAGATTTCATAGAAATGTCATAAACAAGAATTTTGTTGTTGTTGTTGTGGTTGTTGCAACAGTCTGTAAGACACAGATGTTAACAATGTTTAATTTCGATAAAAAACAACATATTTTATTTGTGAGTTAGGAAAAGGTTCGACATTTCTCAGACAATATCGAAACATATATTTATAGCTCATTAAGCATTAAGCATATATTTATAGCTCATTAAGCTATAAATATATGTTTAAAAACAATTAAAAGGTAGATTTTGTAAAAAAAATAGATTTTACTAAAAAATATATTGGAGATGGATTTTTATACCCTATACAATTATGTTGTCAGGGTATTATAGCTTTGTGTAGCCCCAAGAGTTTGTAACGCCGCGAAATATTGGTCCTAGAACAACCTATAAGTATACCGATCATCATATCTCGACTAGCTGAGTCAATCTAGACATGTGTGTCCGTCCGTCTGTCCATTATAATTTTGAAACACGATACAGGCCACAGTTATGGACCAATCTTCACGAAATAGTGCTGATTGCTTTGAAATGATCCATGGGGTCCTAGTTATGGTCAAAAGCAATGCCTATAAATTTCGGTGATGATCAGAAAATAAAATTGGAATGAAGGACCGAAAACTTGATTTTTTGTGTTTTTTTTTTTCTCAAGTCGATCTACAGGCCACTATTGAAAGCTCAACATCACAACATAACCCACGGTAAAGAGAATCTGGACAATTACAGCCCTCGTCTATTGAATATTAGAAATGTCGCGAAATATTGCCCAAGCTGAATATAGAACCATAGAAAGTTAGATTTTCGTCAAAGTTGTGTAGGGTATCATACGGTCGGCCCCGTCCGACTATACTGCTCCGCTCACTGGTTTAAATATAAAAAGAGTGGATTTTTTAAAAATATTTTTCTAGGGCCATACAACTGACGTTTTTATACCCTTTACCACACGGTGGTACAGGGTATTATGTCGAGACAGACCCATGTCCGTCTGTTGGTGTTAAATTGTAAACAATGTGCAGATCGCATTGATAATCCGATTTGGATGAAATTTGGTACAGCTCATTTGTTTGGCCCAAAGCCGAATCCTGTTAAATTTGGGGAAAATCGGTTCAGATTTAGCTATAGCTCCCATATATATATTCGTCCGATTTTATGTAAGTGGTGCACGAAAGTTCCTATATATTCCTATGATGCACCAAAGGCCCTATATATCTTTCGATTTGCACGAAATTTGGCATGCCATACTGAATTGAACCTGGAGTGATGCCTGCCAAGTTTCGTGAAAATCGGTTCAGATTTAGATATAGCTCCCATATATATTTTCGTCCGATTTAATGTAAATGGTGCACCAAAGGCTTTACAAGACGCTGATACTACCCGTGCTATTATATGGATCAGAAGCGTGGATACTTGCGCAAGCAGATGAGGCAGCTCTTGGGGTGGATGAGAGAAAAATTCTCCGAAAGATCTACGGGCAGATCTGCGTCGACGGTGAATATCGGCGTCGAATGAACCACGAGCCTTACAATTTATACGCGGACATCGACATAGTCAGTCGTATTGAGCTGCAGCGACTACGGTGGCAGGCCATGTGTTGCGGATGAATAAAAATGTCCCAGCTCATAAGGCATATAAAAATGAGCCTACTGACGGTTCCCGTAGAAGGGGAAGGCCACGCATTAGATGGAAAGACCAAGTAGAAAGCAACATCTTGGAACGTGGTCTTCCAAATTGGAGGACTTGCGCACAAGACCGACGCGCTTAGAAATCTTTTTAAGCTCGGCTTATGGAACAACCGTTCTGTAACAAGCCAGTTAAGTAAGTAAGTAAGTGCACCAAAGGCCCTATATATCTTTCGATTTTCACGAAATTTGGCATGGCATACTGATTTGAACCTGGAGTGATGCCTGTCAAGTTACGTAAAAATCGGTCCAGATTTAAATATAGCTCCCATATATAGTTTCGTCCGATTTAAGGCAAATGGTGCACCAAAGTCCCTGCATATCTTTCGATTTGCAAAAAATTTAGCATATCGTACTGAATTGAGCCTAGAGCGACGTCTGTCAAGTTTCGTAAAAACCGTTTCAGATTTAGATATCTCCCGTCCGATTTTATGTAAATGGTGCACTAAAGTCTCCATATATATTTCGATTTGCAAGAAATTTGGCTTATCGTACTGAATTTAACCTGGAGTAATGCCTGCCAAGTTTCGTGAAAATCGATTCAGGTTTAGATATAGCTCCCATATATATTTTATATATATGTAAATGGTGCACCAAAGTCCCTATATATATATCTATATATCTTGTCTTCACCAAAGTGGTGAAGGGTATTATATAGTAGGCCCAGTCCGAAATTACTTCTTTCCTTACTGGTTTTATGTTATATTACTGGAGTGGATTTAAAAATATATTTTATACGGTCAAAATTATGTTTTAAAATTATTTTTATAAAGCGGTAATTTCCTTTAAAAAAGTGCCTTCTTTTCTAACTTACCCAACATACGAATTACGGCCTTCCGCGATTGTTCATGTCTTGGTGCCTTGTGCATGGATCCTTGTTGGACACCTGGAATTATTATAGAATTGAAAAATATATGTTTAAATTATTACACTTATTCCAATATAAAATATTTCCCCCATTAATTCCCATAATTCTTACCCGCCCGACATAAACTTACCTAATTTCTTTTCCGTTCTGGCCCGTATTGCAGCACCCATACGACCATAGAAATAGAAGATCATTACCATGGGTATGAGAAAGAAGAACAGGAATGATGCCTCAAAAATATACCATTCTTCGGGTGGGAACATGGCACACATTGCCGAGTCACAAATTGTTTCGTTGTCTGTAAGGAAACCAAACATATTAAACTCAGTTAAACAGGCTCCCAAAATAAATGGATTTTAGAATGTCCTTTACCTGGAGGATAGCTGAGATATTGAATTTCACTTAGCCACCCAAATGGTATGGCAGCAATGAAGCTTAGCAACCAGAGGGCTCCGATTATTCGTAAGGCTCTCTTAAAGCCGGTCATGGCATACGAGCTCAATGGATGGCAAATGGCTAAATAGCGTTCGACGGAGAATGCCACAATGGTAAAGACGGAAACATAACTGCAACTGTTTTGGGTTGAGATGGGTAAGAGAGGTGTGAGGTGAGTATGAGCAAAAAATCCAAACAAATATTTGAAAGCCAAACATTGTTGAGAAAACAAAAATAACAATGAAAACACGAAAAATGAAAACAACAACGATTTATTGTTCAACTTACGCTTCTGATATATAGGCCCGCACTTTGCAAAATGTTAGACCAAATAAAAACGGATACTGATGCCAATATAAAAATACTTCCGTAGGCAGTCCTGCAAAAGAAAAAGGAACAGATGTAAGGCAAAGGAATTTTTCAAAAATGTGTGGGATTGTTTGTGTGTGTGTTATTTGCAAACAATAAAAAAAATGTTGTAAAACATTTTTTTTCTATTTGCCAAACAATTTCCTCTCCCGCCCTTCATAATAAATCATTAAATCGTGTTTGCATAAATTATTTATGTTGCCTCATGGTTTGATTGATTTTTTTTAATACCGTAATTTATGACTTTTAAGCATTAAATAAATAAATTTGCAAAATGTATCAAATTGGATTTGTTTTGGAGGGGGACGGGGACCGAGGAATGTCAGAACTGACTGGGGCGTGCATGGAGGCCTTTCAACGTGGAATACGGGAAGTGAATTTGAATACAAATAGATGGTAATAAATTACCGGGACATTTTAGAGAAAAAATCTAATTCTATATAGGATATTTTTACACATTTTGGATTTAAAATTTGGTCGTGTATTTTGTAAAAATATTTTCATAAAACCATACAACTTGGCTGGGTTTTTTATACCCTTCACCACACTGTGGTACAGGGTATTATGTATTTGTGTATATGTTTGTAACAGGCAAAAGGAAACAAGATAGACACATGGTTCCTTTTGAGAATATGCATAGGATCAGATTTGAAGTCGATTTATGCATGTCCGTCGGTCCGTTTGTCTGTCCGTCTATCTGCATGTCCATGTTCAATTATAAACAAAGTACAGTTCGCATTTTTGATTCGAACTGGATGAATTTTGGCACAGCTCATTTGTTTGGCCCAAGGACGAACACTATTGAAATTGGGAAAAATCGGATCAGATTTAGATATAGCTCCCATATATATTTTCGTCCGATTTAAGGTAAATGGTGTACAGTGTTGCCAATTTAGCACTTTTAGTGCTAGATTAAACACTTTTTAAACTCGTTTAGCACCAAAAAATTGATCTAGCACCTAACATATTTTTTAGCATTTTTTTATTTTTCCGGAATTTCTTAAAACTTTTAAAATTTCATCCCAAAAAAGTGTCAGTAAATCTGAACAAGTAAAAAAACCCGACCGGTCAAACATTTTATACCCTGCACATTGTGGTGTGCAACAAAATTTTCTTAAAAAATGGTCGGGTACTTCATATGGTGGCTGTGGTATTGTCTGTTATAAAATTACAGCCACTTCGATGGAAAAAAAGTTTGTAAAACCTCAAAAGTATACAAATAGGACTAAATTTAAAATGTGACGTATGTCCAAACGTAACCTACCTAGGAAATTGTCTGCATAAATAGCTCCTAGCCTAAACTAACCTAGAGAATGCTGTTAAAAACTTCAAAATATCGAAAATTTGACGGTACTTTTACATGCAAACCTTGACCAAGTTTGATAATTATCTGCATATATGCCAGCCTCCAAAATACCACTTTGGTGGGAAAATGTGGTCATAACCTTCAAAATTGTTTTAAGTTAGCTTCCGGCATTAATACATTAAAATCAAAAGTATCAAATCATAGTCATTTCGGACGTTCCCAAAATGACAAAAATGTTGGGGTTCCGCTCTTTGGGAGCTACACCGTGCAAAACACAATAATAAAAATTTGTGGTAGAGCTATTCTCTGTCCAATGAGAATTCAAAGCCACTTCGGTCGCCAAAACACCGAATAATGAAGGTACCGCTCTATAGGAGTTATTCGGAAACATTTTTGATAATTTATAATGATGTTTGTTAAGCTTCGTGAAAATCAGTTCAGATTTAGATAATGCTCCCACATATTTTCGCACAATTTAATTTTTATACTCTTCACCACACTGTGGTACAGGGAATTATGTCTTTGTGCATATGTTTGTAACAGGCAAAAATAATTGAGATAGACCTAAGGTTCCTTTTGAGAATATGCATAGAATAACTTTCTGAGTCGATTTATGCATGTTCGTCCGTCTGTCCGTCTGTTGGTGATGAATTGTAAACAAAGTACAGGTCGCATTTATGATCCGAATTGGATGAAATTTGGCACAGCTCATTTGTTTGGCCCAAGGACAAACCCTATTGAAATTGGGAAAAATCGGTTCAGATTTAGATATAGCTCCCATATATATTTTTGTCCGATTTAAGGTAAATGGTGCATCACAGTTCCTATATATCTTTCGATTTGCCCGAAATATGGCACAGCTTAATGAATAAGGTCTAGAATGATGTGTGCAAAGTTTTGTGAAAATCGGTTCAGATTTAGATAGCTCCCATATATATCTTGGTCCGATTTAAGGTAAATTGTGTACCAAAGTCCCTATATATCTTTCGATATGCACGAAATTTGGCACAGCGTAATGAATAAGGTCTAGAATGATGTGTGCAAAGTTTCGTGAATATCAGTTCAGATTTAGATATAGCTCCCATATGTATTTGTGGTAATTAAGTAATTAGTGCATCAAAGTCTCTGAAAATCATTCGATTTGCACGAAATTTTTCATAGTGTACTAAATTAAGGCTAGAAAATCGGTTCATATATATTTTCGTCCGATTTTATGTAAGTGGTGCACCAAAGTCTCAATATATATTTCGATTTGCACGAATTTTGGTATAGGGTACTGAATTAACTCTAAAATGATGTTTCTAAGCTTCGTGAAAATATCCATAGCTAGGCCGATTGACACAACGTACTGATGTAATATAAATAAGTCTCTGGCAAGTTTCCCTGAAATCGATTCAGATGTAGATATGTAACAAAAACGCGTCGTCTGTTAGGATGCATATGTAGAATATACCCAAAGTGGTGAAGGGTATCATATAGTCGGCCCAGTCCGACTTTACTACTTTCCTTACTGGTTTTAATTTTACATTTTGAGCGAAATTTGATATGGCGTATGGAATTGACTCTAGATTGATGTGTGTAAAGTTTGCTGAAAATTGTCCGATTTTAAGACCCAAAGTTAAGCCGATTGCCACACAATTTTTCACAACGTACTAAAGTTTGTGTAACATAACATGTGTCAAGTTGTACTGAAATCAATTCGGATTTAGATATAACTCCCATATATATTTTCTTCCGATTTTAAATAAATGGTGGATCACAGACTCAAAGTTACGCCGATTGAAACAACATTTTGCATAACGTACTTCAGATAGTATAGCCAAGCGTGTGTCAATTTTGTTGGAATTCGTCCAGAATTAGATATAGCTCCCATATAGTTTCGTCCGATTTTAACTAGGACCCAAGAATCCCAAAAATATTTCCATTTGGAACAAATCGATCATAAATTAGTCTAACCTAACCTGTGACAAGTTTCCTAACCTGTGACAAGTTTCCTAACCTATGACAAGTTTCCTAACCTGTGACAAGTGAAATCCGTTCATATTTGAATATAGCTTTCATATCTATTTTCATCCGATTTTAAGTAAATGTTGTACCAAACTCTTCATGTTTTTTCGGAATAGAATGACATAATTTCGTATAGAAGTACATATGTAGCCCATATATATTTCCGACAACTTCGTGTTAATTGGGCTCCAAATATTCAACGAGTGCCCGATTGACATTTGCTTAAAATCTATTTACATAATTTTGTCCCATTGTAACTGACGAACTACATGTTTTTGGATTGATCTAAGTCGATTCACATTTAGATAAAGGTCACATAATTTAGTTCATCCACTTTCATGTTAATGGCCCTTCTGTTAGGATGTATCTTTTTAATATACCCATAGTGGTGAAGGGTATCATATAGTCGGCCCCGTCCGACTTTTCTACTTTCCTTACTGGTTTTTAAATTATTTTTCATAGAAGTTGTTGGGTTAGCTTTTAATTAAAATCCCTCCCTAACAGCAACATGAGAGGGATCGAATTTATAGTTTCATACAAGTTTTGATAACTTTGATATTAAAGATTATGTTAAAAAATTTTGTGAACAAATGTCCTTGTTTATTTTTATGAAGTCACTTTTAGTGCGCTCATATAACATTAGGAGGTGGGTAAAACCATTATTTTAAAAAATATTTAACGATTTATTTATTTATTTTTTGCTACTGTCGACTCTGTCATATGTTTGAAATATTACACTTGTTTTTCAACTTTTCATACACTAGGGGTTACACGGAAAAATCATTATGAATATGTGTGTGTGTATGTGTGTATGTATATTCAACATATCCGCTACTATATGTTGAATATGTTTAAGTTTGCAATAAAAATTCGCATACATTAAAGTAAGGAAATGTATTAAAAAATATCGCCTAACGCTTGTATTGGCTGTAAATTGTTGTAACCAAATCCGCACCCGTAATCAAAATTTTTAAAAATTCAATACTTGAAAAAATATATTTTTTTAAAAATTCACGCCTATATTTGGTCCATGAAAAAATATTAAAAAAAAAACAATCAGTAAATAGTCTTTGAAACACATTCAAAAAAGCAGCTCTTATAGCTAGAGCTAAAAAAATGAAAAACACACTCCCTTGTTTGTGGGCTAAAATTACATATTCCCTTTTTTATTGAGTGCCGCCATACGTACACATCTACATATGTATGTACATATATTTTCCCATACATATTTTCTTCCGATTTTAAATATATGGTGCACCAAAGACTCAAAGTTACGCCGATTGACACAAAATTTTGCATAACGTACTTCAGATAGTATAGCCAAACATGTATCAATTTTGTTGGAATTCGTCCAGAATTAGATATAGCTCCCATATAGTTTCGTCCGATTTTAACTAGGACCCAAGAATCCCAAAAATATTTCCATTTGGAACAAATCGATCATAAATTAGTCTAACCTAACCTGTGACAAGTTTCCTAACCTGTGACAAGTGAAATCCGTTCATATTTGAATATAGCTTTCATATCTATTTTCATCCGATTTTAAGTAAATGTTGTACCAAACTCTTCATGTTTTTTCGGAATAGAATGACATAATTTCGTATAGAAGTACATATGTAGCCTATATATATTTCCGACAACTTCGTGTTAATTGGGCTCCAAATATTCAACGAGTGCCCGATTGATATTTGTTTTAC